TTAGCTAAGCGATTAATTAATCATCAGTTCGCATCATAAATATACCACTTTTGTTCATCAGTTTGTAGTCAGATAAAGACAGGTTTAATCAAATTCAGACGATGTTAGAATGCTATTTTTATAACTATGTTGCTCAAAATCTACTGTCAAATCTACTTTTTGAAATAAAGAAATTGTTAAATTCTAAACTGTTATCTTTTTCAGCTTTCGCTATACACAATTACGGCAAGGGCTAGAGTTGTCTGCATCTAACTTTATGGACATATTTTGTGTAATATAGCTCAACATATTGAAGGACAATCAAAGATATAGTAAATATTATGGTTTGAAAACAGATCTTCAGTGAAAATTATACTCTGACATTCAGAATTCACTTAGTGAACACAGATATTTGTACGATACACGTAGTAAAAATGATAACCTAAAGCACTTTTAAATTGGTCTGTATTTAATAAATCACATTTTGATATAACAGAGAAACTTAGCAGTTTTAATACACAACTGGTATTAATCAAAATACATAAAGCCCAATGGCTAACAGTATAGAGGAACATGTTTTTTGAATGATTTTGATAATTCCAGTCAGAAGTTCCTAATTTGTAACGGTATGTATTTTCCCGTTGTTGATGTGAAAGACTGTAATTCGTCGTCTCTATTGGCATATATGCATCCTGAGAGGATTCTCACCATTTTTTTTCATTTGGTCATAAATTTGTTATCAAGTTTAACTCAACTTTAATAAGAATTTCTTGATGTTTACACATCGAACAATTATCCTTTGAGCTAGAAACTAAGTAAAAAGCGTTTTTCTTTGTAGAAAAACGTATGCTCGACCCACTCTATCAATAGGGCTAATCTTAAGTGATTATAACTGTTTATTGTCTAGATTTAATAATTTTTCGACTACTCTATTTAATTGTGATGATTGATTTGTGAATTAATTTTATTAGTTTAATAATTTCATATATCTATATAAATAAACAATAATGTATCTAAGATTAAGGCCTGATGATGATCTAAGTGAAAACAATTTTGTTTGCTCATATGTATTGTTTTAATCTACAATGTTGGCATTTCTAGCACTAATATCTGAATAATGATTATATGAAGATTCTAGATAATTTGAAGTCGATTTTCACTACGGACAGTAATTCAAAAGTAATCGAAAGTGTGAACCCATAAGTTCATTCAAGGTAGGACCTTCTGGTTTTGGAAGAAATGAACGGCAACACTGAACCTGATGAATCCTATTCTCGTTTTCATCTATTTCTTTACTATGTCTGGTATAGGAAAATGTGACACTGACTTCTAAGCATTATCTGGTTACGCAGAAATTTCTTATGCCTAAGTCCTGAACAGAAGACAGGTGGGAAGTATGGAAATCAGTTGACGAAATCACGTGCTATAAGGTCACTTCCATTCGTTACATAGAAGTTCACTATAGATTATATCTTACGGATGTGAGGAAATCCTCTGAAAAGCAAGGGAGACATGTAGTCTATAAGCATTTGAGTAGAATAATTCCGAGCACTATATATAAGTAGTGGAAACATCGATTAAGTAATATTAGTATAGCTGTGAATTTTTATCGACTCGGGTATTTGGGAAACATGCCACGGCTTTTTAACGTGGCAAACTATACTGAGTTGTGCTGAATATATGTAAGGTGACCAAATCGTAGCGCAGCGTTGGCATATGAAATTACTGACTCTTAATTTGAGTAACGTACAGAGGTATAGGCTTCATAAATATGGCTCTTAGTTATGATTATTAGTTGCAAACTTCGAGTAGCACAGTTCAAAATAAACTGCAGTAGGGAAGGCGAGAGTATTCTAGGCTTGGGACATTGTGTTATCCCATACATTTCACTTGTTTACTACATTGTCATCTAACGGGTGTTTTATAATATTATCCAGCAAACTTTCCATTATATTTGATGATATAAAGTGAAATATCTTGAATCAACATATTTATATTATCACAGATTTAAATCATGAGTCAGTTGAAGCTAGACCACCATTGAAAACCTGGAAGCACTGGACGGCCGGCTCAGTGGTCTAATGGTTAAGTGCTCGCGCGCGAAGCCAGTAGGTCCTGGGTTCGAGCCCCGCGTGGTGCGGGATCGTGGATGCGCACTGCTGAGGAGTCCCATACTAGGACGAAACGGCCGTCCAGTGCTCCCAGGTTTTCAATGGTGGTCTAGCTTCAACTGACTCATGATGTAAATCTGTGAAAATTTCTAAAATCTCCACAAACCCCTTCTGATATTTATATTAGCCAGATCTAACATTGTTCTTACCAGAAAGTGTTTCTTTAAAAGTAACTTTACAGAAGTGTATGTTAGGTTCCTTCCTTAATAGAACAGACCAGTCATTGCTTTTTGTTAAGTGAGCAGATTAAACATAAAATAGCCTAAGGCGTTTTATAGTGTACATTGATTGCAATTATAGCAAGTATTTTACAGTGTATAAACTATGTGGTGATTGATGTTAAACTCATAGATACACTTAATTATGGATAAACAACTGTAATATCATTCGTTACATGGGTTGAGAGAAAGTGTTCATGATTATTGACATTAATATTTTGAGGGTAAACAATTAAAAATTCCATAAACAACTTAATAGGTATTTTACACAGTTGACCGGTTGAAACCACCAAGCACATAATTCGCAAAATCAAATAAATTCCTTTTAGTTCAATAGTAGATTCAAGTTACAATAAATGGTAGGTCGGAGACAAAACATGATGAACTTCAGTTCACGAAATTCCGATGGATGTTCTACCACGTTTAGAACAGGGATTTCGATTTATGTTCCAAATTTTATTGTTATGGCTTCGTTCCAATTCAGCATACTTATTATTTTGCAGGGATTTTTACACATGAGAGTGATGAGCAGTTCACAGCACGCGAACACGTACAAACGACATTTTAAATAATTTTACTTTGTGTTACTGATGTCGACAAACATAATTAACATATACCACCAATCGGAAGTGGAACATCTGGCGAAAGGTCGTGAAGAGAACGAGAACAGAGAGTGATTGATGTGGGAATGAAGGAACAGTGAAGTCTGAGACAACCGATTGACATTTTGCAAATGAAGTATTTACTGTATGGTTCTCGGGTTTTGATAAAGGATCTTGTAATTGTATGTTCCAATGCGTTTGATTGTTCCTACTGGTGTTCTTGTCCACTATATGTTTACATCATTGTCCCTGTGGCTGTGTTTGATCCTCAATCAATGTCATCTAACTTATAAATGTACATAAAGAAGTTTGTGAATTCTGCATTTACAATACATTACTCGAATGTAGATTACTTTTTCAGTTGTTTCATGTATTAATAAAAGCAACAAACGCGTTGTACCTTATTCTAGATTTTCAGTTAGAAGATTGCATCGCACATACCTTTTTGTTCGGTCTCTTAGACTTATCCTCTAAATGCATAATCTTTCTTATCATCATTTCTCTATTACTTCGAATACTCTGCTATTGTTTTGTTAATTTCATCTTGTAATAACAATTTGGTATGGCTTCTTGAGCTAACGCACAGAGAAGTTTATATGTTTATATATATATATATGTCACATGGATGTGATCTACTGACTTGCTGACTTTCGATTACCCCACTCTATCACATTTCCTTCATGAAGAATAGGTCCGATTCTTGAATTTGACTGTAGGCGTTGAGGTAAGAAACATTTTCCTAATACCCTTTTAGGGGTCTATCTGTCGCCTGTTTTACACTTACTCGGTTGCGGCTGACTAACTATATCACCAACTCTTTTAACGAGGAAATTCATTACCCAGGTAGGCCCGCACAACCAAACGCTTCTTGTACGTAGAGGCAACTTATCCGAGAGTTGACGTTCGGTTCCCCCTACCTCGGGGTTATGGTCTAGTTATATTTTCTGCGGATATATGGCGTCAAATGAAGTGCGAGTTTTTCTTCTGAAGATCGCTTCAACAGGTTAGGGGCTATTCTAGATGGTTCTATTGATTGAGCCTTCCTCTTGTGATTATTTTGTTGAACATCGAAAAACTCCTGCCTCAGTTTCTTGATGACATGGTAATAAGATTGCTGGAGAGTTGGATGGGATACTTGAGTACAAATAAGAATGAATAACAAGTCGAATATTTTTAAATTTTTGAGCTAATCAAGACCTAACAGATTGAAAGACTCATAGGTAACATAGGATCTATATTTTATCATTGGATCACTGAATTCAACAAAGCATTTGATTACTGAAATTTTGATTAGGATGCTCAATGCATTCTTTATCCAATCGGTAGTAGGATAAATACCAAGTTTTGCGAGAAATCAGAGTAATGTCAGATGCACTATCCAACTGCAGTGTGATAATATGATCGTTAACATTAACAGGTACATACTTATCAGCGTTAGCGGTTAGTTCTTGGTAGAACATGTACACGATTGACTCTATGGTACTCATTAATCTGATGAAATGAACGATTTCAAATATCTTTCCAAAGAATAAAGATTACATTTAACAATGGTCGTAGAATAAAAATGTACTTAGTTATTTCTTGACAATCATTATCCCGGCGATATAAATTTTGATAAATGCTTTATTATTCCAAGTTTTCATTTTATCTTATTGCAACTCAAGAACTAAATACAGAATCGTACAGTCGAAACTTGGCATCAATTTTTCTACACACCGGTTAGTGATACTAAACGATTACTTAAACCAACGTAAGTGCAGAAATATTTGAACCTGAATAGTATTGCATTAATGTAGCTCATTTACCAAGTACAGGGTTATGTATTCAGTTCTGAACAGTTGTTGTATAACGGCCAGTAATAATATCCAACTGTCTAGAAGGAAGTAGATGAAACAATATTCAAAGGTTTAGCATAGCAGTTAAAAACTCAGTTTTCAATCGTTAAGATGACCCTGAAAGTAAAGCTGAGAACCATTACTTAAACCGTTTTGTTATCCATTAGTATATCCAAAAGGAAAACGCTGAACAAATCAGAACAAGAAAACAACGTCTTTTTATTTCTACTACAAAACACTGACTTGAATATCTTAGAAAGACGAATAGTGAGTTTAAAAGAAACAGAAGATAAATGAGGACAATAAGTACATTACTGCGTGAATGAATATTATTAGTGATAATGGTGATAAGATTGAAGGAATATCATTTGACTTTTATCGATATACACACACGTACAGAATTCTTTTTTCATAAAATCTAGAAATCTCAGCATAACAAATCACAAGAGAAAGAAGAAGAAGACATTAACTTAATACATTGGATTATGAGAAGCAGTCATATAAGTACAAAAAAGTGAATGAAACAAAAGCAATTGGAAACAGGACATAAACTTTAGTAATTTTTTTTTACAAAAAAAGGAACAAACCGAATCAGTATTCATAATTGAAGCAAAATAGATGACCAGAAAATTTAAAAATAAAATAAAATTGACATAAACAAAAGGATAATAAAATGGCAACATAGACGATACCACAAAAATACATGAAAATGGGGATAGAAAGAAAATGAGAAATATAACTGAAACAAACATACTTTAATGTACAGGCAGAATGGTATTTTATTTTATTTCATTAACAAAGAAATTTTTAGATTCTACATCAAGAAATAGATACATACAATTCTCTCAACTATTGTTATTTTACTATAAGATAGGAGAATTAAAGTAGGTTTGAGATAGATTGTTACCTAAATAAGATACATTTAAAAATTATTACAAATGTGTATACCTCACATATACATATAAAAAGTAAACTCCGTAATGTGTGCGTGTATATCTTAACATAAAATCGTTTATTTTCTGTTTATAGGAAAGGGACATTATTTTAACAAGGCAGAAAAATCAACACATCAAACCATGTTGTCATCCATTTTTACTCGTCTTGGTAGTTTTATAAACGACAGAAAATATGTAGCCCAGAAATAGAAATCTGAACGTATGCGCACAAGTTTACGTAGTTCAGACACGAAAAATACCGATGACGTTAAACAAACTAATAAAACTAAATCTATAGAAGAGAAAGAAAGAAGAAAATTCACAAACGATGGATAATTAATTATTGTTTTGTTTTCACTAAATTGACATTAAAATTAAGACATTTTAATATGTTCAGAGTGATAGCACATCGTAACTTATAAGCAAGCAAAGAGACACATCCGGCTATGGGGATCAAATTGGGCATTTTACATCTTACGCAGATCGAGATACTTAATATAAAAGTAATTTACAATTAATATGATCACTAAACAGTAACCAGTATAGTATTTTTGTAGTCTTTATAGTATTGATCAATCGGAAATCTCAATCATACAGAAGGTCAGTCACAGGTAAAATAAATCAGTAGTGAGGTTTCGAACTACAACACTGATTCATGCGGGCCCAAATATCACATGAAAGATTAGTTCCCTGCAAAGTGAACATATGCTTCGTTGATTAGTGTCAACTAGCAGGAAAATTAAGTTCAAGGCTATATCTGCACATCTCAGTCAAACTTAAGACGTCAACGTACTCAGGAAAGTAAAAAGATGAAGACGTAACTCTTTGCATGTCCATATAGGTTACCAAACTAGCAAATAATCATATGAAGTATATAGAAGAAAAAACACAACCATTTACCTTTTAATGTCAATGCTTCCGTTTGAAAGACAGCTTGCAATGGTGGGAAATATATTACCAATAACTGACCAAATAAAGACAACCCAACAGCTAGTACAAACAAACGGTTAGAGAAAAATCCCAATGAGAAGATCGATTTATTCTATAAAAAAAAAGTGACACGAGAAGAGGTAACTTGACAGCTACAGTTATTGATTTTCAATTACTGACTGTTGAATTTGAAATCAGTTCGATCTACTACGGTTTGGCTAGCTGGTCAGTATTAGTGATCCATACACAAATAATATGGGTTATGGGGAAGTATACAAAGCTGAACGTAGCAAGTGAAATTTACCAACAGATTGTATTATACATCCGATAAGGAGTAAAGGGTAATGTTGTGTAAATATGAGACTAAGTGATTCCGTGAAAGTATTCATAAATTAGGGGGATGAGGTGCACTGGTTTATCAAGTGAAGGTTCATGATAAAATATAATATACAACTTTTATAATCCTCCTGTGGAAAAATCAGTAACTTTTGCGTTAGTAAATTTTTTTTCATATTGAATACAATAAAGATGATAATTATATTTATATAGTAACGGTAGTCAATACTGTCAGATGGTCACTATAAACGAGTCAAGGTTGTTTCTAACAGTGGTATCTTGGAATTTGTTAAAGAAATCAAAACAATTTGGTAACCAATTTCAATTTTTAATATTCGGCTACAATTTTGTATATATCAGAGTTAGTGATATTAACTTCGGTGACGGGAACTGAAGTAGGTTTGGAACCCAGTAATTGAAAGTTGATGGCTTTAATCATTGAGGATTTGTACTTATTGCCAACAGTTTATGTAGCATAATAAGTTAAAAGGCAGATGCAATGCATCTATTGTCTGTTTGTATTAACGGACAACAGATACATAATCCGCCCAATAAATATGTGAACTGGGGTCTTTAGAACTGTATCTCACAATTTAAGATGCATCGACCTTATCGTCTGAAAATTAATCCTCATTTGAAGTAATATATTTGCTTCATCTCCATTTCTATCATTAAAACACTTAGGAATCCTAAGGAGTTAGGTTTTTCTTAGCTGCTTCATCATTTCACTTTTCTTAGTTACCACATAACATATTTTTTACTTCAAGAAAACTGTCAGCTTTGATGCGTATAATGGATGATCTGATGTCGTGGTGGAATCATAGACCAGAAACTAGTGAAAAATCGCTTCCGAATGTGTGGGGGTGTTGTCACGTAATTATCGAGCATCCGTGTACTTATACGGAAATTACAACTTTCAGAAGTTGGTAGCTACTGAATAAAGATGGACCATCAAAGTCAGACTAAATAAAGGAAGTGAGGATTCACAACAATAGGACTGCTTATTTCTTTATCTATGTTCATAACTAACAATTGTCTTAGCTTAGTTCCTTCAATTATTAAACAAACCATAAATATGAAAATTCGGTAGCCTACGGACAGTACTGATTATTCCTTCTTAAAACAAATCCTAATGATTAATAAATACGACAAAGGAATAATAATAATAATATTGATAATAAAGATTATTATTATTACCTGTGATCGAAAACTTAATGCGTTGAACATATCAAATAAAACGAAACATGTAAAAGTCATAGTTGTATCATGTCGTGTAACTTTATTATCAGACAATTCTCTAAAGAAAATCCATAAAGTACCAGAGACGATTAGTGATGAAGCTGTCAATACATTGAACATTAAACGACCATCCAAAATAGAATCATTTGCTCGTCTGGGAGGTTGTCTAACTACCTACATTACCAGAAGAAAACAGACAAGATGAGAAAAATGATTCAATAAAAAAATAATTATATTAACAATACAGAAGCATTCAATGACAATTAATTATTGGTCAAACAAAAGTCAGTAAACCTGGTTGACAAATTTTAAGAGCTTATTTTAAATTACTTATCCAGTACAATTTTATGGACTTGGTTTCAAACTATATTGGTCTGTGTAGGCAATAGCAATACTATCCAATTTGCAACCTACCAGAAGGAATCTAAATGGAGTAACAACCAAAGTATGAGTAGATACAAGCTATGCGTGTATAATCACATAATAAAAATTACACGAGATTGTTCGCTGGTTAATTAAGCTAAATTGTTTTGAAGGTGAACATTCTTCCACTTAATATGTATGAGCTTGTTCAAGATTGCAGGTACACTTTAGTGGTGAGAGAAGCCTAGCACGAAGTTCATGGTTTCTTATTGACCAGCTCCAACTACTAAATACGAGTCTTATCTATCCATCTGTATAAAATGAGAGAGGATTAGAGTATGAATGTCATAGGTTTTTTTAATTTTAAAAATAGGAGTAATGAACGGAACTCACATGAGGATCTGGTGGTTCTACGCCTAGACTTTGAGCAGGTGGACCATCCATTAGTATATTAATAAAAAGAATTTGCATAGCATTCAATGGACTTGGGAGTGAAAGTAATGTGGATAAAGCAATTAAGGCTAGAGCAGCTATAGACCTGTAAAAATAAGTTATAGAATGACGTGTTACCGAAAAAATATATACATGACGCTAAGCAAAAAATTTCTTGATGGGAATAATGAGGGTTAGTATGTAAAACTACCAAGGGTGAATGTCACATGTTTTAAACATTTAAACGGCCAGGTAAGAATTTGAGTATATAACATGAGCAGTCTGTAAGGTTGGTAAGTCTTTTTGAAATTATACTAAAGTTACAGTTCCTTCTACAGTTGGTTACTACGGTAAATTATTTATCTGTCAAGATTAAGCTTACAATTATAACTATATACATGGGTTATTAAGTAACAGAGCTCTTGAGTGAACAATTTTACAAAAAAGAGAATAATGAAATAATCTACAGTGAGTTCATGACATAATCAACTAGCAGAAACATATTTAGATCATTCTTTATAACAGGATAAGCACAAAACATAATAGAATAATTCACATCAACCTATCATTTTTGGTTAAAAAAACGAATCCCCTTATTTTCATAAATTATTCATACTTTCGATTATTTTATAAAGATCCGTTATAGGATGATTTACGAGAATATACTCGTGTTCCACTTAATAGTTAGCCGATTGTTGTGATATAATGGTGATACCGAAAACAGTACAGCCGTTTGTTATGACAGTGGAATAACTGCTACCTGACAGTTATTGCAATGGAACATGACTAGTATACCGATGAGAGAAAGCAAGATGGTAGGTGAAGACTAGTATGTTCACCAACTACTGATTGAAGCGACATCAAAAATAATGATGAAATGCATATCACTTTAAACATCCGTTTTTTAGGTCATATTTAAATGCGTTAAACTGACAGTAGCTAGCTTTAATCTATAAATAGTTTAATGTATGTATGGCATATATATAGGTTAACTGCTTTAACCAACAAATGCAAGCAAATTGTTGAGCTATTTATAACCATAAAGTAAATGAGAGTGTGAATAATACATAACATTTTTACAAGCCGGCATAATTTTTACCGGGTTTGTCTATTCATATTCATTTTTTTAATAAAGAAAATCAAAGAATGATTACTTGTAAACAGAAAAATCACCAAACCCAAAGAAGTACTCATTCAACTGCTAAATAGTAGGAATGTAGAACAAATGAAAGAAAGAAATTATTTGTGCACCCATCAACCAACTTACGTGCTTAATTGAAAGCCGATGAAATTTTTAATATTATGAAATAATGCTTTGCCTTCTTCCATCGCAGCTAAAATTGTGGCAAAATTATCGTCTAATAAAACAATATCAGCAGCTTCACGACATACATCTGTTCCTGTACGACCCATTGCAATACCGATATCTGATGACTTTAATGCGATTGCATCATTCACACCATCACCAGTCATTGCGACAACTAAATTGGATTGTTGTAGAGCCTTATAGGCGAGAAAATATGAATTATAGATCAGACAATTTAGAGTTATAAAATGATTTTTTAAGGTTAAAAACAAGTTAGAGATCAAAATTTTGACGAGAAACGTAAATTTGAGTGTTATGTTGATATAATGGACAAAAAAATTATTAGTGTAGTTTATCGAGAACCATAAATTTGTAATTTACATTAGGGAGTGAATTTAGCGGGACAACTATTTGAAAGCAAAGAAGCATTGGACAAGTTTCGTCCAAGTACGAGAGCTCTCCTAAGCGGTGCGGATACAAGAGGTCGCCAAGAGTCAAACTCAAAATATCAAGAGACCAGTACGACTTTAAATTCAGTGAGTTGCTATGCAGTGGCTCACACTTCGAACTCCAGTCAATTTCTGATATTGTGCAACTACTATCAATGGACTAGTTAGAAAGCCCTTAAAGTGGAAATCCTGGAAGGGTCGCAAATGCATATTAGTGATGAGTTTCATACTAGCTGGAAGCAGCTATTTAGTGCTTTCTGGTTTTCGACGATTATTGAGTTAATCAGTCCGTGATGTAAACTAAAATACACGAATCGGATAAATCAAAACAAGATACGGAAAACTAAAGCATAATCTTGTGTAAAAGTACAGTAGTTTGAGAAATTACATTTTAAAACAGAGTAGACACCCGAACACAAACACTATTTCCTATAATATCGAACTAAATAACATGTTCAACAAATCCCTTCCATTTATTTGTCTCAATACATCACCGATTTTATCAGATTTGTTACTCAAGACAGTTCATCAAGAATGATTATCGTAAACTACAGTGTCATGTCCGTATAAAATTATATCCATATGTTAAATTCTACAAACAAGTTGTTTACAAGATTAATATTGAAAGAGTTAGTAAGCTTGTAAAGTGTCTGAATGTTGTATATAATTTAATTAACGAGTACGAATTCCGTCTCATTTGAAATATTACAACAATCTCTCATTCAAAAACAAAGGATATTTGTAGGTTACTGATATTTGATCGTGTCTCCGAAGAACAGCTTGTGTATCTAGGGTCCACTGAGAGAGCGATATTGCGGTTAGATGAAGGGTATTAGGTGAATGTTTGAACATATGACCGCTCACTAATATCTTGTGACAAAAACACCAGCACTAATAACCTTGAGGCAACACTAAGCTCTTATTGATCATCGATTTAGTAACTTCTCTCCCTTTTCTGGCTGTTGAGTCCAAAAAACAGTATATGGTCCCAACTATACTTATTGACTTACGTACGCCTGTTACCTCTCTCCAGTATATTATAGAGTAGACAGATCAAGGACGCAACATCTTAGTCCAGTTTTGAGATGCAGATGGAGAACGTCGGGAAACACCTAGGCGATGGAAACAGGTTGTGATCCGTGCAAGCTGCAAGAGACGGTCGCCGTTATCCAATCTGTGACCAGTGAGTCCCGATCGACCACCTAATCTGCTCATTCAAATCTCCGACTAGTACTACAATATCTGCCGGACGCACTTTGTGTAAAAAAACGGTTAACTGGTAGTAAAACTCATCCAGGCCGCAGTCTGTCGGGACGTAGGCGCAGATAACACAAAGAAATCGTTTCTCACACCGATTTTTTCGTTGTTTGATGGGGCTTTCTAATCTAAAAGTACATAATCGACTGTTAATGGAGATCCAACCGATCAGTGTTACCTCAGCTCTAGAGCTTAGTGCGACAACAAAGCCAGATGAAGATGCCACAGGATCCCCGAACAAGTGAACACAGAACAAGCTTTTCGAATCTACAGAGGAGAGTAAATTTGTGATACTTCACTAGTCTTGAATACGAGCCTTGGATAGACTACAGATATAGATGTTGAGACTTTCTAAAGACATACCAAACCCTATTTTTTATTTGGTCTGCATTAGTATGCGAACGTTGAGGAATGCCAGTTTGAATGGTAAACGTCGTTTCACGAAGGTTGGTTTGAAATTTGCATTTGGTGGTAGCTTTCAAATTTCAACCAGTCAGTGAATTGAGACAGTTTAAATAGAACAATATTTGCACCATGAGCAAGCTACTGTATGAGTTGAAAAATAAAATATACAAAATGGGACTAAAAGGGAATAGATAAATAACACAATGTTTGGCATGGCTCAGAATTAGTCGTAATAGGTCAAATCACCTCACTAGTCTTCCCTTGAATTTTAAAATTATATTACACTTTTCTATTCCACGAATTCATTCTGCCTATCCCAGATCTTTACTACCACTAATACTGTTACTACTCATAGTGTTCTGAGGTTCATCTCGTTGTGACATTGCATGGCAACTTAAACCGATGCGTTAGCTACTTTGTCGCTTATGATCGGGCAACTGACTCAACTATTGTTCACTGATCAAGCAAACCATGAACATAAAACATTCGGGAATAGCACAAAAGATAACATCTGAATAGATTTACACCGTGATCAGTTCAAAAACATATTATGTGAGGTTTCACTTTTCGGACCTTATTAAAAGAAAAATCATTTGGATTATGACAGTCTTGGTACTTTCTAATTGATCATCCTGAAAAGGAGAGAGGTTCAAATTTCAATGGAAAAATCAACACAGATTCAGATAAACATCGACAGACCAGTCATATGTATTGGGGAAACCTGCATAATGGATTTTATCCGCTGGATACTGACCAAAACACAGTCTACATACGTGAAAGATGATCCAAATAATGCTGATTAATTATTTCAGTCACATACAATGCAAAAATAAAGAAATACCGACTAAAAACAGGAGAATACTTAATATGATATACATTTTGTAAATTATTGGGTAATTAGTTACCTTGACGATTTTGCACTTATGTTTCGGTCCGGATCGATAAAACACAGTAACATTACGTACAACTGACATTAATTGTTCAACGCTTATTCGTTCTACTTCTTCACCACTGAGGCACAGATCACCAGGGCGATAAAGAGATAAACGAGAGCCTAAATTAATAAAATCAATATCGACAGAAAACATAAGTATAAACGAATAATTTTATAAACAAATATTGAACTATAACAATAAAAAGAATTAGTATACCACACTAGAATCTAGACGATATTTATATTGTTACAAGGGAGAGATTTTTCGGGACAAGAATGATCCAAACGTAATCAACGTTTATGAGACCTAGTGAAAAGCAAGTTTTTTCACTATGACAATTGATCATGATTGGATTTTCATGTAGACTTCCCAAAATAGTGCGGTGTCCAGTCACTGGTATGCACTGAGCAACGGAAATATAGAGAATATCCTATTCTATGAAGAGACAAATACGACATGTTGCATTCAGTATCAAAACAAAATTAATAAGGGAGAAGGATATGACCTGGCCCTCTTGAAAGATCAGAGGTTGAAAATAAAATAATTCAACCGTTGAGTTACAATCCGATGTAGGGATGGAACAATATTAACGGATAGCTGCTAGTTTACAATTCGAGATGCAGATAGATGGAGATCTGATACTAAGAAGTATCATTTTGCGTTTTAGTATTAGAACAGGATTATGTTTTCAGATTATTTATTAGATAGCCTAATGGGTACATCTGATATGATTATGCTAATGAGGAAACTGGATCCTATTTAATTTTTATTATATCTTACTAGATTAATATTATTCCAGATTCACGTAACCTCTTGTAAATGTAGCACTAAATGATTCTTCAGAACAAATATTTCAGTAAGTATAGGTACCAACTTCGTTAGTTTAAGAGGCTAAACTGACTGAAGGTATATATACAAGGGTCGATTTCATCTAGAATTTCACCTTGCATACTCATCATTTAACTAGGTAAGTCATTTCGTTGGTGCCTAGTTTTATCCTTGCACAAATATAACGTTCCCTTTCGACACATATCTAGTAATTCTTTGTGAACAAAAAATATAAGAGTATGTAGTATTAGAGGGTGACTGAATCTGTCGAGGTCACCCTTAAATACAAATGACTCTGATGTGATGACATTACTATTACCATTCTTCTTAACCTGTGTTACCTACTTTTATTTATCCCAATTATTATATTTTAAGATTTCATTTTATCTAAAAGTCGATTTTAACTAGTCACTATTTACCTCAAAAGTGACTTATTTTTATCATTAATGTGAAATCTTGATAGTAAAATTTATTAATATTTATTACATTAATTTATGTGACACACAATGCTTAATATCTATATTGTATAGAATTTGTGTCACACTATTAATTAATATTATATTTGTAAAATTAATGACCACAGTGAAAACAATCAAAAAAAGGTTATCGCAAATAAATACTTATAAATGTTAAGATGATGGATAACACTACAGAAAGGTAGGTTTAACCTTGAACATGTACAAAACTCAAAATCAGTGATGCTTATTAATAACCCTTATGTGATAAGGAACAAAGTACAGTATGTATTGTTGTCGCTGAATCAATATTGATCTGATGAACAAATTGAGGACGTGTTGGAAAGAATTCAGTTAGCCCTGACGATAAAGTGATACTAATAATGTATTCATTATATTTTTATTTATTGAGAATTGCTTACTAATACAGTAGAAATTAACGATAAATACAAACCAAGCTTAACAATCATGATTGCAGTTCGAAATCGATCAACACACAGAATACTTCAAAGTATATCATCACATTTCATATAAACAAACAGAAAAACGTTAAATCAATTACTATATTACCAGTACTCACCAATTGTACATGCAGTTTCTTTAGCATCACCAGTTATCATAATCACGCGAACACCAGATTCATATAATATTCGAATGCACTCAGTTACACCCGGACGTGGTGGATCAATTAAACCAACTAATCCATGGAAAATCATCTGTTCAGAATTAACACCTTTAGCCAATGCTAATACACGTAAACCTAAGTTACCAAGTATGGACGCTTCATTAAGTATTGCTTTTCTAGTCTCTAAATCCATTGGCTTTATAGAACTATTATTAGAATAACGATTCGATAACATAAATGGATGACCATCAGATGGTGATGATTGCATTGAAATCGCAGAATCGTTTGAAAAAGATGTAAAGGCACAACGATTAAGCAATTGGTCTACAGCTCCTTTAGCAAAATAGACTGGTTCATCAGGAGTCTGCGGAAAAAAATGAATACAAATACAGTGACTAAATAAACACTTAAATGAAAATATAAGTCAGATACAGTTGAAAACTGTCACAGTGTTAATTAAGTATTTTCGGCTAGATGAAGAAACACAGAATTAGTTTAAATTATGAAGTAGAGAGAAAAGCCAGTGCAAAGGAACTGTATTTCCACTTCAAAAATATGAAAAGTTATGAAATTTTGTGCAACGTTACGTAGTATCGCAGCAAAGTTTCGGTTTTAAGAGTTATTAGTGTAAAACGTTCGAAACCTGACACTATGAACTTCTTATTACGATTATCAGATTGTCTTAATTTCACGCTCCTAATATATATATATATATATATATATATATATATATATATATATATATATATATATATATATATTCGATTTAGCCTAATAAGCTTTCTTCTCGCTCAAATAACC